TAAAAATAAGTATCATTTGTAGAAGAGACATAGTAGTGCATTTCTACATGAGGCAGAATCCTTTAGGATGCAGCTTATTAAAAGGCCTGCAGATAAATGACACATTGGCATCTATCCAGAGGATAGTAAGTAGACTGGGTGAGAATAGAACTCAGGCCAGGAAACAGCTGAAGGAGCTGGAAGAACACAGGATAGGAATCTTAAGAAATTTACTTTAATTTAAGTAAAAATGCTCAGCCAGGCATGGTGGCCCACACCTATAATACCAGCAACACTTGGGAAGGAGAGGCAGGAAGATTCCTAAGTCTGAGGCCAGCCTAGTCTATAGAGTAAGTTCCAGGGCAGCCAGGGCTACATAGAGAAACTGTCTTGCAAAACAAAACCAAAAAAAAGCTATGTTTTTATATTGAGGGACTCTGAGCAGACAATCAAGCCACCTGGAATTCCGTAAGATGTCTGACTGGAGGTGAAGAGTGAGCATCTCTTCATTAGAGGCACATAAAAAGAATCAGAGATAGTTAGACGACTTATTGGTCCATTCCCATTTAATTTTTGAGGCTGTGCTTTGACAATGTTGTGGACTTGTACTGCCTGCCTAAAGAAAGGCTAGGATAGAGGAGCTAAGGAATGAAGCTCTGTGTTCATAGGTGAGTTAGAGCAAATGCCACTGTAAGTCTGTAAGTCTGGCTTACCACCCCTAACCCTTCAAAACCAGCCTTTCTCCACTTCCTGGATTCAATGGCCATTCCCTTCTCCCACAGTCTCTGACCTGTAGAAACGCCTGGGTTCTGGCAGGAACTTGGGACTCTTGTACTCTTCTTTCCTTTGGGGTCATTTTAAATTGGTTTTGTTATTAGGCTGAAGACAGTTAAGTGATGACCTAGAGGGTGCCATTCCAGGGGAGCTGTATCCCTTTGAAGTCAAGTCTGGACTTCCATTGCTGCTTTGTCCTTTGAATCTTGAATGCTTTCCAAAATTATTTTGCAAAAATGCCAATAATTACGGGAAAGGAATCACCTTAAGATGCCAGGAAAAGGGATGGGGGAGGAGTTCTGCATTCGGCAAAGGGCCTTTCCTAAGTGTCTAGAGGAAGTTTTGTGTGCTAGGAAGCTGGCAAGGCAAGAAGCAGAGGAGATCTTCAGAGAGGAGAGGCTTTAATACAAAAAACTAATAAAACTATTGTTTTATGTAATCAGATTCTCCTTAGATTTTATTGGACTTCAAAATTTATATATACATCCACACATACATATCCACCCCATACTATCTCCACATTTTCACGCCTAGCTGCAGAAATGCAGGTCATACAGTGCTGCTGCCAGAGGAGTGTATCTTTCATCCCTCATCAGAGAAGTTTCTTTTGGAAGCAGACAAAGCCCATTACAGAAAGCCACAACTCACCAAAATGCAAAGGGAAGCTGATTATGAGGTACAACTGATACATATACGAAACTAGAGAACACCACAGCAGAGTGGGCATGAAGACTGTAAGAATCAGAGGATCAGGAAGTATGCTGGGAAATATTGTCTCCTAGAAATGTCAGGGAAGCTATGCCCTTAAACTCTCAGTAACATGGTTGTCTAAGCAAAACCTGAAGAATGATAACATCAGTTGGCATGCCAATGTAGATGAGGAAAATCTCACAAGGGCCCTAGAGGAAGAACTACAGACAATTAATCTGATGAGAGATGGACAATCAGTCTTCTCCAGGGACAAGTGATCATCCCTAAACACATGAGCAACACTGAGTGAGCATCTGGTGTTTATACATTTATATGTATAGAAATAGTATACATATTATTAACAATAATAAAGAGTAAGCGGCCATAAATTTGAGGAATATGGGGTAGGGGACACATAAGGGATTGGAGGGAGGAGCAAGAGGGAGGAAACGATATAAATGCAGTACTCATCTATGAAATTCTCAAAAAAAATTAAAAATTCCCCTGTATATATACCACATTTTCTTTTCTTTAGTTTTTAAAATTGTGTGTGTGTGTGTGTGTGTGTGTGTGTGTGTGTGTGTGTGTGTGTTCATGTACTGTGGTGCACATGAAGAACTTAGTAGACAACTTGTGGGAGTCAGTTCTGTCCCACCTTGTAGGTTCCAGACATTGAACTTGAGTTTTCAGGCTTGGTTGCAAGTTCCTTTACCTGCTAAGACATTTCACAGGTTTAAGTTTTCTTTATCCATTCTGTTCTTGAACACCTAGGTTGGTTCTACAATTTAGCTATTGTGAATAGGGCTGCAATAAAGATTGATGTGCAAATATCTTTGTGCCTATTGTCTTGAAGTCCTTGGGTAAGTACCCAGTAGTGGAATAGTTGGGTTATACAGTGAATATATGTTTAGTTTCTTCAGGGGAAACTTCATGGTACATTACATCATTACATAGAAACTGCAGAAGTTTGCGTTCTCATCGGTCATGTGTAAATGTTTCTTTGTCACAAGGGAGAGAGAGCATGAGAGAAGGAGGGAGGGAGAGAAAATGGTGTGTGTGTGTGTGTGTGTGTGTGTGTGTGTGTGTGTGTGTGTGTGTGTGTGTTTGGGGGGGCATTGTAGGCCAGAAGTCAACATTAGGTATCTTCTTCTACTTCTTCTATCACTCTCAAATCTTAGTTTTTCTCACTTAATCTGGAACTTACAAACCAGCTAGACTTAATTGGCCAGCAAGTCCTCCTATCTGCTGCCTCAGTGCTGAGATTATAGCTGCATACTGCATTGTCAACATTTTATGTTGGAGACAGGAACTCAGTTCTTTATGGTTTCATGACAAACCATTACTGAATGAAATATCTCCCACGTCCAAGGGAGGAGTTTATTTATTCAGGGTTTCTGCTTAAAATTAGAAGAACTAAAATATTTTTTAAAAGTGGAACAGCTAGTAATTCCATTTCCTACCCATATATTTAAAAATCCTAAAGTATTTTTAAAAAGAATATTGGTGCCCAGATAGATTTCATTCAAGTTAGAAGGTTCTAATTTAATTAGTCTGTGCTTTGCTAATTTTATAGAACTTCCCACATTAGTGAAATGAACAATAGCAATGAATCACTAAGCCATGAGAAACAGTAAGATGTAAGTCAGCCTGAGAGAGGAGAAGTAGAGGCTGGGTTAGCTACCTGGTCTCATGTAGGGGGCAGGATCCATGGGTTAGAGATGGCAGGATTTTATTGTTACCTAACTACAGTCCCTTACTTCAAAAGTGACTAAGAACTGGAAGGACTAGCTACTTGGCTAGGGTGAACAAGATTTCTAATTAACCTATGAATTTTCTAATGTAAAAATTGAAATTTTGACTAGGCATATGTCAGAAATGATAGTGTTTGCCTAGCATGCACAAAGCCCTGGGACTATACCCATTACAACATACATACATTGTGGTGGTATAGGGCAGTGGTCTGTGTCAATGGCAAGAGGATCATGTCATCCTCCATTATAGGCTACAAGGTGTGTTGGAAGGCAGCTTGGGATACATAAGACTATGGTGATATTTTGTTTATGATCTAACAAATGAAGTTTGCCTGAAGATCAGAGTGCAAAGCTAGCCAGACTACTTAGCCATAGAGGTTTTACACACCTTTAATTCAGGAGACAGGGGCACACAGATCTCTGTATATTCAAGGCCACCCTAAGATATAGATCCAGTCTAAAAGAGAAACAGAGCTCATACAAAGGTGACCTCGGCACTTGGGACCCCACACATTTAATCCCAGTGCTAGAGAAGGATATAAGGTGAGGAAGAGACAGGGGCTCAGTGCAATCTGAGGTTTAGTGGAGACAGATGCAGTCTGGAGATGCAGTCTGAAAACAGGATCGCCCCTTTGGTCTAAGCATTGGTAGAGGTAAGAACTCTCTAGTGGCTGGATGTTTTGCCTCTCTGATCTTCAGTTTTAACCCAATATCTGTTTCTGAGTTTTTATTAATACGACTATATCTCAAAACAAACAAACAAATAAACAGAAAATATACTTTCAAATCCTATACAGCAAGCAAATCTGAATGACTGGTTAACCAACATAGAGTGAACACAAGCATTTGAACACACCAGGTATGGCACCACACACCTGTAACCCCAGCACTCAGGAATCTTGAGATGGGGGTATCATGAGCTCAAGGCCTGACTAGGACACATCACAAGACCGTCTCCTAAAACACAACAAAACTGTAAGTTGTCCAAGCACTTATTAGAATAACCACTTTCCTTTTGATAGTTTTCTATTCTGTGAAATGAGGTGAACCTTTAAATGCTGCTCTCTCTGCCTCTTTCACTGTCTGCTAGAAAATGGACTATTTGTGAAGGGGCTTAGTGACCTATAAAGCACTAAGTAGACTTCTGGGTAGAGCATTTTAAATAATAGGCCTTTTACTATGCTGAAAATGTCACAAGATGTTTTCCAGGTACATCTGAAATATCTATTGTGGGATGGCAGGCTAGTTCTTGATTATTGTTCTGGTTAGTTTTTTGTCATTTTGACCCAAGCTAGAGTTACCTGTGAAGAAGAAAATCAATTGAGAAAATGACTCCATCAGTTTGTCTGTAGGCTGATCTGTGGGGTATTAATGATTGACTTGGAGAGGCCCATCCCACTGTGGGTAAGGCCAGCACTGTGTAGGGGGTCTTGAGTTGTACGAGAAAGCCAGCCGAACAAGCCGGTAAGCAGTGTTCCTCCATGGTTCTGCCTCAATTCTTGTCCTTTCTGAGTCCTTGTCGTGGCTTCCCTCTATGATGAACTATGATCAGGACATGTAAGCCAAATACATGTTGGTTTTGATCACATTTTATCACAGCGATTAAAACCTAACTAAAACAGTTATGTATTTCTTCTCATCTTTAAGTATTATTACTTCTTCCCCCAACAATAAAAAGGATCCTGTGATATCAGGGCTTTTAGAGTGTAGCTTAGTGGTAGCACACTTGCCTAGCATGTGCAAGGTCGTAGGTCCCACCCTGCTAATAGAATAACAAATGAGTAGTTTTAGAATGTCAGAACTCTAGTGCTAACTTCCACAGCACATATATTAGTATTGAAACAATACATAGAAGATTAGCATGGCCCTTGTGTAAGGATGATAGGCAAATTTGGGAAGCATTCCATATTTTTCTACAATCCACAGTGTCAGAGAGGTTAGGTAACAAGGAGGGCCCAAGAGAGGAGGCATGGATCTCCCTGGGAAGGGGAAATAGAAGAGATATCCTCGGTAGACTGGGGTCCAATGTGGATGGGAACTTGAGGGATTGGGTTGGAGGTGGGTGGGTGGAGTGGGAGAGTACTGAAAGAGATGACTGGTAGGGGGGCTTTGGGGGATCAGCTCAAAACCTGATGCAAGGGAAACTTCCATGAATCTATAAGGATGACCCCATCTAAGACTCCTAGCTATAGTGGATAATAGCCTGAACAGGATATCTTCTGTGAAGATTGGTGGCTACCTCAGTTTTCATCGTAGAGCCTTCACCCAGTAACTTATGGAAACAGATGCAGAGACCCACAGCTAAACATTAGACTGAGCTCAGGGAATCTTGCTGAAGAGAGGGAGGAAGGATTGTAGGAGCCAGGGGTTCAAGAACATCACAGGAAAACACAAAGAAACAACTAACCTGGCTCATAGGAACTCACAGAGTCTGAACCAACAACCAGGGAGCCAGCATGAGACCAAGCTAAACCCTCTACGTGCATGTGACAGTTGCATTGCTTGGTCTATTTGTGGGACTCCTAACAATGGGGCAGAGGCAAGGGGGAAGGGAATGGAAGGAGAGGCAGGAGGGGAAATTGAGGTTGGAATGTAAAATAAAGAAATAAATGATAAAAACGAATGTCAGAACTCTAATGAATGACATATACGTTTCAGTCCTATTGTACCATCCAATAGGTGAATAAGGGGCTGTGATCATACTTCAGTGTTAGCACATGCAAAGCTCTGAATTTGATCATCGGCATGGAAAAAAAATAATAAAGCCAAATAGATGGGTAGATGGAGACCTTGAAAAGTAGAGTAAATGATGCAAGATCCCAAGGTTCATCAAAGCCAGGAGCTGGTTTCCAACTCAGCACTCTTGGTGTTTTGATCCTTTCCAGAGTTGTGTGTCACTCCCCAGTCACATCTCTGAGCCCACAAAAGCACACTTTCTTCTGGAGGACATTGTGTTTGACTTCTACAAGTACATGTGGTTTTGGGGTTTATTTTTTATTTTTTATTTTTGGAGACAGGGTTTCTCTGCATGTATCCCTGGCTGTCCTGGAATTCGCTCTGTAGACCAGGCTGGCCTCAAACTCACAGAGATCCACCTGGCTCTGCCTGCTGAGTGCTGGACTTAAAGGCGTGTGCCACCGCCACTTGGCTATAAATACATTTTTGTATAGGAAAAAGAAAGAACTATGGGAGCTCAAAGCAGAGGAATGGAATTAGGCTTATGGAGGTATCTGTAGTTGTGGAATACTTCTTCGGTGAGAAGAATCTAGAAGAAATGTAATTATTTTCCTGATAAACATGGGAGGATATTCTGACACCGGGAACAACACAGTTATCATCGAATGGACTATCAAATTCAGAAAACAGGATTTTGTCAGTTTAGCACAGGGGCTTTAGGATGTGAGTACCTATATAGGAGATGAGATTGGCTGTATTTCATCTGCTACGGAGTTTGGGTGTCAGCCTGCAGATGTCAGAATACCACTGGAAGGTGTTAGGTCAGGTATTTAATGAATTGTGTTTTGCATTTTCATAGCTATAGCTCATCCTCTTGGCAATCTTCCTCCATCAGCACCTCAAGTTCTGGCATTACAGGCGGATGCTGCTGTAACTGTTTAGTGTGCTTTAACCATTGGTAACTCCAGGCCAAGCAGAGGGGTCATCAAAATGAGTAAGGAAGTTCCAGACCTACTCTCATTCTCAGAAGAAACCTTCAAATCTTCTGGCCCAAACCACTGAGTACTGGAGTTGACGCCTTGTGTTGACTCATCCCCCGGATATGGGGCTGGTAGGAAGGCCAGCCCCACCCTTCTGTCTGGGCTGAGCTGTGTAGACTTTGGGCCCAAAATGTGCTTTCTAGGCAGTTCTGGGTCAGGACATCAGGACTCCCCTGGCTTTGATGTGCACTATTCTCTCAAGGGTTTTTTTTGTTTGTTTATTTGTTTGTTTTGTTTTTGCTTTGGTCCTTATTGTCACCTATATAAACAGCTCTCCCGCTTATCTTCTGAACTTCCTGTGGCATAACTCCCCATGGCATAGTTCTCTTTTTTTTTGTCCCACTTAATTTTCCTAAATCATGTTTCTGTGTGTGTAAGCATTATGGTATCAGAGAGCAGGGAGTTTCTGTAGGCTATGGGCTTGAGGGTGGAGTACTCCTAGAGGAAAATACATTTGGCTTGTTTTATTAAGGGTGGATACTTGCATTCGGGGTTTCTTGCGGTGGAAATATGTACCTAACTGGAATTATAACCTAAAATAAACCCCTTCTCTCCTTGTTTTTTTTGGGGGGGGTAAGTCAGGCTATTTTATCACAGCAACAGAAATGAAGCTAGGACAGGTTCTGACATATGGCAGGTTTTGAAAGTTCATAAGAGGGGCAGAAAGGCCATTCAATGAATAAAGACATCCTAGGGGCCCATGTGGCAGAAGAGAGAGCTAACTCATCATGCTGTCCTCTGACGTCCACATGTGTGCTTCCGTAAACACACTCCACCCAGTAGAGAAATAAAAATGTAATGAAAAAATAGCTTAAGTTCCATAAGAGGAAATGAGGATGTGCATAGCTTAAGTGGCAGAATGTTTAACTAGTGAATTCAAAATTCTGGGTGGAATTCTAGGATCTACTTGAACTTGCTGTGGAGAAAAAAAAATGCCGTTGAATTCCTGATACTCCTACATCCTGGTGCTGGGATTACAGGCCTGCAGCGCCACATCTGGCAGCACTCAGGAGGCAGAGGCAGGTAGATCTTCATGAGTTCTAGGCCAGCCTGCTCTACACAGCAAATTCTAGAACAGCTGGGGCTACACAGGAAGGCACTGAATGAGAGGAAGCAGAGAGGGGAGCTCAGTTTGAGGTTGCCTTAGCTTATGTAGTGACTTTCAAGAGAGATGACTCTACAATATGAGACTCCCCCTTTCCACCAAAGAAAAGCACTAGCTCTAGTGTTTTGGCACATGCCTGCAATCTCAGCATGCCAAAACTGAGGCAAGAGGACTGCTTATAGTTCAAGGCCAGCCTGCATTCTATTGTAAGTCCCAAGCCAAACTGAGTTATTTATAGAAATCCTCTTTCAAAAAGGGGAGGATTTCGAGTAAAGTACACATATTCATGAAATTGTGAAAAACATATAAATTTCAAAATAAAATATAATGAAAAAAGATGGCCTCAGTCACAGAATCCTGACCTGTGTTCTACAGCAGTAGCCCTTCCGTAGGGCAGTTTCCACCAAGTAGAAGGGCTGCATGTATGCTATCTAGAATCTACACTCTTTTGATCAGCTTGCTGATGAAAGTAGAGGTAATGACCCGTTTCTGAAGATTATATTCATAAAAGAATTCTTTCCGGGTGGTGATAACCCATGCCTTTAATCCCAGCACTCAGGAGGCAGAGGCTGGTGGATCTCTGTGTGTCCAAGGCCAGCTTGGTCTACATAGTGAGTTCCAGGACATGCTCCAAAGCTACAGAGAAACCCTGTCTCAAAAAAAAATCTCCAGAAATTACAGAGACACTTTTGCTACTGCCCCCTTTGGAAATCATTGATGACTCTGACAAAAAGGAAACTAGTGAAGGAATTTGAGAGGGAATGTGCAATGACACCAGCAGCTGAGTATCTAGAATGGCTGAAGAAGTATTTCTGAAACAAGGTGACCAATACAATAACATATGGCCAATTCCTGATAGAGTCCTGGACCAGTTCAGGACATCCCGAAGTTCAATTCCAAGTTTTAAGTAATCGTGGCTCTCTGAATCTTAAGTAAGGGTTTTCTTGTAATGAATAAAAATTTTTCTGTCCCTTGTTACATGTTTCAAAAATTTCATGTCTTATATAATACAACCATTTTACATCTGCTTTTAATTTATGCTAGTGTACCTCCATACAATAAAGTGAAAAGAGAGCCTTCCCTCCAAGTTCCAGTATGTTCTCTTTGTATGGTACTGCCTGGTCTGGTATTCACTAATGGTTTTTTTTCTACCTCCAAAGTGATGGATCACAGGTATCTACCAACATGCCATTTCTTTTCTGTTTGTTTACGTTTTTAAAGTTAGTGGTGGAAAATTGAATACAGGGCTTCATGCATGCAAAGCAAGCATTCCACTAACTGAGCACATCTTCAGTTTTTAACAATGTATTTGTTTTAGTCATATATAGAGCTTTAGTTATGTGCGTGTGCCTGCTTGAGTTTATGTTTATCACATGCATGTAGGAACCTTCTGAATCCAGAAGACAGTGTCAACCCCCCTAGAACTAGAGTTGCAAGCGGTTGTGAGCCACTATATGGGTTCTGGGTACAGAACATGGGATTTGTGCAAGAGCAGTTAGCTCTCTTAACCGATTTCTCCAACCCTCATGCTCTACTTTTTCTAAAATTAATTATTTTGCGATAATAATATAAGTACACTATTTTCTCTCTTCCCTTTCTGCCTCCAACTTTCTCACATACTCTTCCCCTTGCACTCATTCAAATTTGTGGTCTTTTTTTCTCTGATTATTGCATACACATATATATTGCATATATATTTTCTCAAATCATATATATTTCTCTCTCTATATATATATTCTCTAATTATTGAGATATGAAGTTCATTGGCCAGATGGCTTAGGCAAATCAATGAGCTTCAGGTTCTGTATGAGTGCCTGTCTCAAAAAATATGGTGGATTGAGTGAGAAAGAATCCTGACACTGACATCTGGTCTCTACATGTTCAATATGCTGGTGCAAACACCTACACTCACATGTGAAAAGTACAATTAATGTGGTGATGTGAATAGGATTGGCCCTCATAGGTTCATATATTTGCATTCTTAGTCATTAGGAAGTGGTGCTATTTAGAGGGATTAGGAGGTGTGGCCTTGTTGGGGTTGGTGTGGCTTTGTTTGAAGAAGTGTGTCACTGGAGGGTCGTCCTTGGGGTTT